CACAGTCTGCTCGGGCTGTCAAGTGCGGAGCCGGATTCAGACGGATCTTCTTTTGTTATAGGTCCGCGGTAAAAAGGCAGTGTTTGCATATGTCAAACTGGAATCACAGAGATCTGAGGCTAAACGGGCGCAGGACTTAAAGAGATGGAAGCCCAGATGAGGAAACGCTCGGCAACCTTCTTTTTAGGAGACGTTTGGAGAATAGATGTAGATTTTAACCTATGGCTCAGGAGCAACCGGCGCACTGCAAAAAGATGGAAAAAAGTACAAATGTTGGATATATGTTCAACATGAGCACATTTCGACTGAGCTTTAAAACCAGATTCTCCAATGGGACACTGCTAAATCATCTTGTTTTAAAAAGATACAGAAATGTCTATTTCAGAACGAGAAAATATTGTCTTTGTCCCATTGGAGAATCCTGTTTTAAGTCAGAATGTGTCAGATTAAGATGAAAACCACTTGAATAACGCATTTATTTCCTCATAAATTATACTTTTTTGCAGTGTAACTCGTCGTTCCTTTTCAAGTCGCTTCACAAAGAATAATTTTACATTCTACAACTTTCAAAAGTGCCCTTTTTTGTTCACTAATATTTTACGTTATTATTCTGTCTGAGGCGAGACTGCAAAAGAAGTTCAAACATTCAAGTAAAGCATGGTTATTTGGATTATTTTAATTCTATAATCTGTGATCTTAAATACTAATCCTGTTTGATGTGTGCGTCTGAGTCTTTTCTCTGCCGCAGTGTGCAGCGATGACACTGAAATGTCTCCTACTGTGAGGCGAGTAAAGAACGATCTTATTTTAATAATGACAAAAGCTGTTTGTCCAATAAAATAAAATAAAAATGAAGGAGGGAAGAACATGTTCCAACCAATCAGGAGGCAGAGAGGTGAGAGTGGGCGGGTCCAACAGGTGCTTGTTTTAGAACATCTCTCTACATTCAAATGTATTTTAACATTCAACTCAAAAACAACATATCCCAGCAACAGAACTACTGAAAAACAAGGTGCAGAAAGTCAAAGGTTTAGATTAAAGCCGGACTTTTTGATTTTCCAGAAGAAAGAGTTCTTCAGACACGACATTCTGTCTTCAGTTCAATTCCATTTGTTTTTGTAGATGGATGAAATACTGAATGCTTTGCTAGCATGTTTCATAAAGTTAGCATTCCTCCATTTTGTCCTAATCCACTTGGTTTGGACCATGAATCCTCTCTGCTCTGGTCTGGACCAGTGTAAAACCATGAATCCTCTCTGCTCTGGTCTGGACCAGTGTAAAACCATGAATCCTCTCTGCTCTGGTCTGGACCAGTGTAAAACCATGAATCCTCTCTGCTTCTTATCTCATCTATGACATTAAATATCTTACTCAGATGAATATCCGGTGGATAATAATAATAATAAAGTGTCCTGAATGTGAACGTACAGAATCAGGTTTATATCCGTGAAGGACACGTCGCACAAAGAGGCTAAAAACTCAAACAAGATCCACTTTAGCCTTTTTCAGTACAACCACTTCACACACAGACAGACACACACACACACACACATACACGTTTTTGTTACCTGGTGGGTCCCTTTGACAGGGCCGTTCAGAATGGGACCCATAGACATAATCTTTTTTTACTGGGACTACTTTAAGTAATACAAAACAGTCAATAGAAACCAAACAACTATTTTAAAGGAATTTTATTTTAGATTTTTTTTTCGAATTGCAGTGATTCTATTTTTGACATAGAATTTAATGCCACTCCATGTCCGATGTCTAAGGTCATCTGGTGAGGCATTAATGCAGGCCAGGCAGTGAGACTTCCCAGGGACCTTTCCAGTCTGTATGAAAGGTGTCATGGTCTTCTCCACAGCCTTCACCTCAGATGCAGACCATGGCTTTCTCTAACGTTCTAGGGAGAGAAATAAAAATATATTAGCAATATACACTCCCAGGGTTAGGACCAAGCAGCCTGGCTGTAATCCCCCACCTGGTACACTTACCAGAAGGGGCACTGCCACTACCATGGGGTGCATCTGGATGAATGGTTGAAGGTTCTCCGCTTGAAGTTTCTTTTAGCCCGTCCGTTTGTGAGAGGATCTCTACTGCTCTCCCTGTCGCACAGAAAATAAAAATACAAGTGGCCTTTAGGGGAAAAAAATCATACATATTTTAATAATATCAAGAATTACCTTCAGGCTCAATTTGTATCTGGTCGAGGCTCTTTCCTTCGAATTCCGTCACTCTTCCCTGCTCCATGGCCATCAACACTTTGCTGATTTTGGCCAGCTCCAGTGTCCCCTCTGGTAGTCTGTAATATTGCCTGTGGATGAGAATGTCATGGCCGAGGAAGTTGGCTAGTATGTCCATTTCATTCTCTTTCATATTGAGAACTGTAGACATAGTAGCTATGTGCTTTCTAAGTTTGGTTGAGGATAGCATCTCTGGATGCACCGCACCACATTCTTTGGCTACCTGGCGTAGGGAGTCTGATCCCCTGATGTGGGTGTCTGCGCCCGGGCGGGAGAAGAAGTATGGGTTATGGTCAGAGATGGAACAGGCCCTTCTGTTCTCCACCAGCACCTCCATCCAAGCAATCATTTCAGGAGTCAAAAGAACCGGCACTTTCCGACTTCTTTTCCCTTTAATTTCAATGCGTTGAAAATGCTGACACAGCTTTTTCTCAAGTTTGGACAGTCCCAGAGCAATGTCAGAATGGATCCCAGTCTTACTTCTTAAGGTAAAGGCTGTCAGTGGCATCTTTGAAACCTCACCTTCCCTTCTTCGATTGAAAATAATGACCTCACAAAGAGTCAAAACTGCCAGTTTAGACCAATGCTTAGACGTTGGCTCACTTATTAGGGTTTGCACATATTCAGGTCGACATACCTCAATATGTGCATGCATGGCTCTAACGTCCTCAGTCAGAGGGAGCAGGTCCGGAGTGTTCCACTTGGCTTGCCGGAGGGTCTGTAGGGCAGCAGAAGAAACACAGACGTCCCACCTCTTCTCAAAAAGCAGCCGGCTTCGTTGGAGGTTTTTAATAAATAGTTCATCAACACAATGCTCCATTTTTGAGTCACATTCAAGAATATCTGCTTTCTGAGGCTATGGCCGAGTTTGAGGGCCAAGGATGGAGTCTTGTATTGATTTGTTTCCTCATCATATCCAGCCACAGACCTGACTGCATCAATCACATGGTTAAAGTTGGAAGGAATAAAGAAATCCTTAATTGTTTTCAGTTTCCCTGCAGTTTTTGCTTCGTTAATTAACCTACCGACTTCTCTCATTTTCTGCCTAATGTAATCATGCTTAGTCTTATCATGCCCGTGTTTTAAGTACAGGTGCTCTCCGAGTCTCAGAATCCCCTTTTCTGCTTTGACAACACCCGTGACCTCATCCTGATGCATTGCCAAAATTAAAGACCACAGCTTTTTGCTGATGCCCTCCGGTACAGGCTGGGCTAGGGAGCAGAGGGACTGGACCCTACTTCTACCTGGTTTAGCCTGGGCATCTTTCTGTGAAAGCCGGCACCTGGCCACATGCCTCCACAGCGACTTTCGCTTAAGCAATGCCCCACAGTCTATACAGTGCAAAAACTCACTGGATTTAACTGGGGAATTTGGCTGTTTAGCTGGGACTAAAGTTCCAATGCCGGCCTTTAAAACCTCAAAATTGTACTCACGGTTTCCACTATTCCTGATCAAATCAAACTGAAGTTTACGTGCTTTAGATTTCACAGGTAGAGCCAATGCTCTGGCTACGTCACTTTCATTTCCATGGTTTCTAGTCAAATGACGGGACATTTTGTGGCAGGACATTGAACAGTAGAGGCAGAAGTGTCTCTTGCTATAAACTCGCCCCCCATTTTTCTTCTTTTGCAGCTGCATGATAACAATCTTATTTGCCTTTGGTTCGTCACTTTCCGAGTCTTGAAGAAAAGTGTTTTTGATTTTTCTTTTTCCATACTTTTTTACAGGTTTCTTCTTGACAGTTAAATCGTCAGAATCTGAGTCGACTTCATCAATTAGGGACTCTTGACTAAGCTGCACAAACAACAAATAATTTGTAATCATTCTATATAACAATTTGAAGTCATGACTTGTAGTCAACACTTACCAGTGGTTTGTAAGCGTGCGCTTCAGTGTGCTCCTCCATGATTTCTTGCAGCCTAATGAACCACACACTTGCACCTTTTTCTAGCCTGACACCTGATTTCTCTGTTGTGCTGCTCCATGATTGGCTCCAGCCTGCTGGACTGAAATTGCCCCAGTGTGCCCCTCCTTGATATCCCGCAACCCACCACCAGGGTTCCGACACATAACACACTTTTTTCAGGAAAGTAAACCTCCAGGGGTCCTTTCCATATTTTTACAGAGACTGCATAAGGACCGTTAGAAAAGCATTACCCATTGATTATTAAGCTTGGACCAGTGGGGTCCGGTGTTCGGGCCCCACCACGTAAAACCAGTCCCCATGACGTGAGTGGAATCTCAGGTTATGGAACCCACCAGGAGTTGAAAACAAGTACACACACACACACACACACACACACACACGTTTAGACAGACACACACACACACACACACACACACACACACACACGTTTAGACAGACACACACACACACACACACAGACACACACACACACGTTTAGACAGACACACACACACACACACACACACACAAACACACACACACAGACACACACACACGCACACACACACACACACACACACAGACACACACACACACGTTTAGACAGACACACACACACACAGACACACACACACAAACACACAGACACACGCACACACACACACACACACGCACACACACACACGTTTAGACAGACACACACACACACACACACATACACACACATACACACACTGAGACAGACACACAATCTAAAAATCTAAAAGCTGGAAAGAAGAGTAAAAAGTTGAAACTAAGAGTCATATATATTTGGAGGAAGAGGTGAGATTTTAGCTGTTTTTTTAAGGAGTTTAGTGAGTCCGAGTTCCAGAGGTGAGGGGGGGGGGAGAGTTCCAGAGGTGAGGGAGGAGAGAGTTCCAGAGGTGAGAGAGGAGAGAGTTCCAGAGGTGAGGGAGGAGAGAGTTCCAGAGGTGAGAGAGGAGAGAGTTCGAGAGGTGAGGGAGGAGAGAGTTCCAGAGGTGAGGGAGGTGAGGGAGGAGAGAGTTCCAGAGGTGAGGGGGGAGAGAGTTCCAGAGGTGAGGGAGGAGAGAGTTCCAGAGGTGAGGGGGGGGGGAGAGTTCCAGAGGTGAGGGAGGAGAGAGTTCCAGAGGTGAGAGAGGAGAGAGTTCCAGAGGTGAGGGAGGAGAGAGTTCCAGAGGTGAGGGAGGTGAGGGAGGAGAGAGTTCCAGAGGTGAGGGGGGAGAGAGTTCCAGAGGTGAGGGAGGAGAGAGTTCCAGAGGTGAGGGGGGGGGAGAGTTCCAGAGGTGAGGGAGGAGAGAGTTCCAGAGGTGAGGGAGGAGAGAGTTCCAGAGGTGAGGGAGGAGAGAGTTCCAGAGGTGAGGGAGGTGAGGGAGGAGAGAGTTCCAGTGGTGAGGGGGGAGAGAGTTCCAGAGGTGAGGGAGGAGAGAGTTCCAGAGGTGAGGGAGGAGAGAGTTCCAGAGGTGAGGAAGGAGAGAGTTCCGGAGGTGAGGGAGGAGAGAGTTCCAGAGGTGAGGAAGGAGAGTGTTCCAGAGGTGAGGGAGGAGAGAGTTCCGGAGGTGAGGGAGGAGAGAGTTCCAGAGGTGAGGGAGGAGAGAGTTCAAGAGGTGAGGGGGGAGAGAGTTCCAGAGGTGAGGGAGGAGAGAGTTCCAGAGGTGAGGGGGGAGGGAGGAGAGTTCCAGAGGTGAGGGAGGAGAGAGTTCCAGAGGTGAGGGAGGAGAGCGTTCCAGAGGTGTCTCTCGTCTCCTCTCGTCTCCTCTCGTCTCCTCTCGGTCCTCTCGTCTCCTCTCGTCTCCTCTCGTCTCTCGTCTCCTCTCGTCTCCTCTCGTCTCCTCTCGTCTCCTCTCGTCTCCTCTCGTCTCCTCTCGTCTCCTCTCGTCTCCTCTCGTCTCCTCTCGTCTCCTCTCGTCTCCTCTCGTCTCCTCTCGTCTCCTCTCGGCTCCTCTCGGCTCCTCTCGTCTCCTCTCGGCTCCACTCGTCTCCTCTCGTCTCCTCTCGTCTCCTCTCGTCTCCTCTCGTCTCCTCTCGTCTCCTCTCGGCTCCTCTCGGCTCCTCTCGTCTCCTCTCGTCTCCTCTCGTCTCCTCTCGGCTCCACTCGTCTCCTCTCGGCTCCTCTCGTCTCCTCTCGTCTCCTCTCGTCTCCTCTCGTCTCCTCTCGTCTCCTCTCGTCTCCTCTCGGCTCCTCTCGGCTCCTCTCGTCTCCTCTCGTCTCCTCTCGTCTCCTCTCGGCTCCACTCGTCTCCTCTCGGCTCCTCTCGTCTCCTCTCGTCTCCTCTCGTCTCCTCTCGGCTCCTCTCGGCTCCTCTCGTCTCCTCTCGTCTCCTCCCTGCTCCTCTCGGCTCCTCTCGTCTCCTCTCGTCTCCTCTCGTCTCCACTCGGCTCCTCTCGTCTCCTCTCGTCTCCTCTCCTCTCCACTCGGCTCCTCTCGTCTCCTCTCGGCTCCTCTCGGCGTCTCCAGAATTACGCATCAGTGTCTAATTTACACTTGACCTGAACGAGGGAATTCAACAGGTAATTACTGACGTGGAGAATCTCCCTCCTGCACATCAAAACCTAGCATACAAGACTTAGCATATAAACCTAGCATACAAAACCTAGCATACAAAACCTAGCATATAAACCTAGCATACTAAACCTAGCATACAAAACCTAGCATATAAACCTAGCATACTAAACCTAGCATACTAGCCTTAGCCTTGTGTCGGAGTGTGTTGTGGGGCATGAACTGGAGCAGTCTTTGTGCAGCTCCAGGAAAAACCAAACAAATGATGCGTCACAAAGAATGAGCAGGTTCTGGAGGAGACGCAGCAGAGATAATGTTTCTGACTCTGCACAAGGACCAGGAGGAGACCGAGAGACTGCACAAGGACCAGGAGGAGACCGAGAGACTGCACAAGGACCAGGAGGAGACCGAGAGACTGCACAAGGACCAGGAGGAGACCGAGAGACTGCACAAGGACCAGGAGGAGACCGAGAGACTGCACAAGGACCAGGAGGAGACCGCGAGACTGCACAAGGACCAGGAGGAGACCGAGAGACTGCACAAGGACCAGGAGGAGACCGAGAGTCAGCACAAGGACCAGGAGGAGACCGAGAGTTGGAGCAAATCAGGAAGTACACAAAACACCAGAGTCTGAAGGAGAGGAAACAATCCAGGAGGGTTAGCATTGTGTTTCAGCAGGAGTCCAGTCCCTGTGCTCCTCAGAGTCCCAGCAGGAGTCCAGTCCCTGTGCTCCTCAGAGTCCCAGCAGGAGGCCAGTCCCTGTGCTCCTCAGAGTCCCAGCAGGAGTCCAGTCCCTGTGCTCCTCAGAGTCCCAGCAGGAGTCCAGTCCCTGTGCTCCTCAGAGTCCCAGCAGGAGGCCAGTCCCTGTGCTCCTCAGAGTCCCAGCAGGAGACCAGTCCCTGTGCTCCTCAGAGTCCCAGCAGGAGGCCAGTCCTTGTGCTCCTCAGAGTCCCAGCAGGAGGCCAGTCCCTGTGCTCCTCAGAGTCCCAGCAGGAGGCCAGTCCCTGTGCTCCTCAGAGTCCCAGCAGGAGGCCAGTCCCTGTGGTGATCTAATCTAATCTAGAATCCAAAACTCTGATGTATCCTTATGAAACTGACTGATGTTAATGTGGCCTCAGCAGGGGGGGTTGGGGCAGACTCTGTGGATGGGGGACAGGGCCTCTGTATAACCAGCTGTAACATGTTCTGACAGCAGTCAAACTGACTCCATGGCTGCGTACACACTACGACTGTACTCTCTGCTCCACACTGAGGAAGAAGACACTGTGCCAGAGGTTCAGGGGTCCAGAGGTTCAGGGGTTCAGAGGTTCAGGGGTCCAGAGGTTCAGGGGTTCAGAGGTTCAGGGGTCCAGAGGTTCAGGGGTCCAGAGATCCAGGGGTCCAGAGGTTCAGGGGTCCAGAGATCCAGGTGTCCAGAGATCCAGGTGTCCAGAGGTTCAGGTGTCCAGAGGTTCAGGGGTCCAGAGATCCAGGGTCCAGAGGTTCGAGGGTCCAGAGATCCAGGGGTCCAGAGGTTCAGGGGTCCAGAGATCCAGGGGTCCAGAGGTTCAGGGGTCCAGAGGTTCAGGGGTCCAGAGATCCAGGGGTCCAGAGGTTCAGGGGTCCAGAGGTTCAGGGGTCCAGAGATCCAGGGGTCCAGAGGTTCAGGGGTCCAGAGTTTCAGGGGTCCAGAGATCCAGGGGTCCAGAGATCCAGGGGTCCAGAGGTTCAGGGGTCCAGAGGTTCAGGGGTCCAGAGATCCAGGGGTCCAGAGGTTCAGGGGTCCAGAGGTTCAGGGGTCCAGAGATCCAGGGGTCCAGAGGTTCAGGGGTCCAGAGATCCAGGGGTCCAGAGATCCAGGGGTCCAGAGGTTCAGGGGTCCAGAGGTTCAGGGGTCCAGAGATCCAGGGGTCCAGAGATCCAGGGGTCCAGAGGTTCAGGGGTCCAGAGATCCAGGGGTCCAGAGATCCAGGGGTCCAGAGGTTCAGGGGTCCAGAGGTTCAGGGGTCCAGAGGTTCAGGGGTCCAGAGATCCAGGGGTCCAGAGATCCAGGGGTCCAGGAGGATCTTCAGGGTGGAACTGGACCTAAGGAAATGGTTGGAGTGAAACTACTGCTGTAAGAGACCAATGTAACGACCTCGGCACAAATGGACATAAATATTTGTATTTTTCTCATGCTCTCGTGTGATTGGCTGATTTTCTTCTGGTCAAACATGTTTTATAATGATTCCTGTTGCTCACAGTTACCATGTTTTAAGCTTCATACGAAGGTAAACCAGAATCAACAAACATTTATATAAAACAAACCATGTCCATTTTTGGAGTTCTGAACTTTTGGACTTTTTCTGTGTCTTTTATGTATTTTAATTTTATATGAAATGATCTTATCCTGTTGAAACGTGAGCCGTTTATTCAAATACAGTCCCTCTCGGTAGTTTTCTTTCTGTGGCAGTTGACTCTTGTTTATTTTATTATTATTTTATTATTGATTATTAGAAATCAGGTGTATTTATCTTTTCATCTGCCAAAGCAAGAACTAAAGTCAAGTGAAATCATGGATGAAACAGATTTGAACAAATGTGCTTCTTTAATTCAATTCAAATAACTTTATTAATCCGTGAAACACTTCATGTAAAACACAGAAACACAAGATATTCATATCTATAAAAGTGTAGAAATGCATTTTAAAATACATGAATTCAGCTGTTTAGAAGAACTTAGGTTTTGCATGGGAGGGACCTGAACCCATGCCCTGATGGGAGCAGACTGAGCCCGGGTCCTCTCTCTCTCTGAGCCCGGGTCCTCTCTCTCTCTGAGCCTGGGTCCTCTCTCTCTGAGCCTGGGTCCTCTCTCTCTGAGCCCGGGTCCTCTCTCTCTGAGCCCGGGTCCTCTCTCTCTCTGAGCCCGGGTCCTCTCTCTCTGATCCCGGGTCCTCTCTCTCTCTGACCCCGGGTTCTCTCTCTCTGATCCCGGGTCCTCTCTCTCTCTGAGCCCGGGTTCTCTCTCTCTGAGCCTGGGTCCTCTCTCTCTCTGAGCCCGGGTTCTCTCTCTCTGAGCCCGGGTCCTCTCTCTCTCTCTGAGCCCGGGTCCTCTCTCTCTCTCTGAGCCCGGGTCCTCTCTCTCTCTGAGCCCGGGTTCTCTCTCTCTGAGCCCGGGTCCTCTCTCTCTCTCTGAGCCCGGGTCCTCTCTCTCTCTCTGAGCCCGGGTCCTCTCTCTCTCTGAGCCCGGGTTCTCTCTCTCTCTGAGCCCGGGTCCTCTCTCTCTGAGCCCGGGTCCTCTCTCTCTCTGAGCCCGGGTCCTCTCTCTCTCTGAGCCTGGATCCTCTCTCTCTCTGACCCCCGGTTCTCTCTCTCTGAGCCCGGGTCCTCTCTCTCTCTGAGCCTGGATCCTCTCTCTCTCTGACCCCGGGTTCTCTCTCTCTGAGCCCGGGTCCTCTCTCTCTCTGAGCCTGGGTTCTCTCTCTCTCTGAGCCTGGGTTCTCTCTCTCTGAGCCCGGGTCCTCTCTCTCTCTGAGCCTGGGTTCTCTCTCTCTGAGCCTGGGTTCTCTCTCTCTGAGCCCGGGTCCTCTCTCTCTCTGAGCCTGGGTTCTCTCTCTCTGAGCCTGGGTTCTCTCTCTCTGAGCCCGGGTCCTCTCTCTCTCTGAGCCCGGGTCCTCTCTCTCTCTGAGCCCGGGTCCTCTCTCTCTCTGAGCCCGGGTCCTCTCTCTCTGAGCCCGGGTCCTCTCTCTCTCTGAGCCCGGGTCCTCTCTCTCTCTGAGCCTGGATCCTCTCTCTCTCTGACCCCGGGTTCTCTCTCTCTAAGCCCGGGTCCTCTCTCTCTCTGACCCCGGGTTCTCTCTCTCTAAGCCCGGGTCCTCTCTCTCTCTGAGCCTGGGTTCTCTCTCTCTGAGCCTGGGTTCTCTCTCTCTGAGCCTGGGTTCTCTCTCTCTGAGCCCGGGTCCTCTCTCTCTCTGAGCCTGGGTTCTCTCTCTCTGAGCCTGGGTTCTCTCTCTCTGAGCCCGGGTCCTCTCTCTCTCTGAGCCCGGGTTCGTTCTCTCACAGCGAGGATGTGTCAGTCTGATGTCTTGTTATTCTCTGCTGCTGCTCTACTCTCTGTAAACCTCTCTCACACCAGAAGAAGAAGAAGAAAATCCAATTATAGCCACAACAACACCTGGGCGTGGCTCTTCTCTTCCTTCTTACTATTTTCCGCGAGCTCCAAACCCACCGTCCTCCGAACCCTCCGCCGCCTCAGCAGACCCCTCACCTTTGATAACGGATAAATTCATCACTGGTTTCCCCGAAAGGTCCTAAGGCCACCGCGGATTGGACGCTGCACTTTTTCTCTTCACCGGGAGAGAGGCCGGTTATCTGTCTCCGCTCGGGCTGGCTTAGACATTCACGCCGACGGGAAAAAGGGGAGAAATGGGGGGATCCTCGTTGGAGCTTTGCTTAAAGGTCAATGCGAGCGCTGGGTATAAGTCGTCCGTTTAATCCGGTGTGTGGAGCTGCAGCGGGGGTCGATAATGAAGAGGAGAGGGATGTCAGGGCATTAGTCAGAAACCTCCAGGAGAGAAACGAGAGCTTCAATTCATCCATTTCAAAGACTTTGTACGATTTACGTTTGGTTCAGGAGCCAAAGTCATCTGCACCGGGGAAAGACATTTGTGTGTGTGTGTTATTGTGTGTGTTATTGTGTGTGTGTTATTGTGTGTGTTACTGTGTGTGTTACTGTGTGTGTTGTACTGTGTGTGTTACTGTGTGTGTTACTGTGTGTGTTGCTGTGTGTGTTACTGTGTGTGTTACTGTGTGTGTTACTGTGTGTGTGTTACTGTGTGTGTTACTGTGTGTGTGTTACTGTGTGTGTTATTGTGTGTGTTACTGTGTGTGTTACTGTGTGTGTTGCTGTGTGTGTTACTGTGTGTGTTACTGTGTGTGTTACTGTGTGTGTTACTGTGTGTGTCACTGTGTGTGTGTTACTGTGTGTGTTACTGTGTGTGTGTTACTGTGTGTGTTACTGTGTGTGTGTTATTGTGTGTGTTACTGTGTGTGTTGCTGTGTGTGTTACTGTGTGTGTTACTGTGTGTGTTACTGTGTGTGTTGCTGTGTGTGTTACTGTGTACTGTGTGTGTGTGTACTGTGTGTGTTGCTGTGTGTGTTTGTGTGTGTGTTACTGTGTGTGTTGCTGTGTGTGTTACTGTGTGTGTTACTGTGTGTGTTTCTGTGTGTGTTACTGTGTGTGTTGCTGTGTGTGTTGCTGTGTGTGTTACTGTGTGTGTTACTGTGTGTGTTACTGTGTGTGTTACTGTGTGTGTTATTGTGTGTGTTACTGTGTGTGTGTTACTGTGTGTGTTACTGTGTGTGTTACTGTGTGTGTTGCTGTGTGTGTTACTGTGTGTGTTACTGTGTGTGTTGCTGTGTGTGTTACTGTGTGTGTTACTGTGTGTGTTACTGTGTGTGTTATTGTGTGTGTTACTGTGTGTGTTACTGTGTGTGTTACTGTGTGTGTTACTGTGTGTGTTATTGTGTGTCTCCTGCAGCCTCAGAACACTCAGTTCTTTGCAGAAACAGATTCTCAGTTTAGACTTTTTTAATTACATTGCTCCAAAACTTAGGCTTTTGTCGTTGTTTTAGTAAAGTACCACAAATAAATCAGTCACTGCAAGGATTGTGTTTGGGCGAAAAATTACTACATTAAAGCCGTTTCATTAAATTCACTCACACTCAGTAAAGTCAGATGTTATTATTGTGTAAAATATTATAATTATTGTGTGTAATGTTGTGTGTCTGATCAAAAACATGTGACTTATTTGATATTCATCGCAGAAGATGGGATTAAATCTAATACGTCTGCACTGGCACATGTTCAGCTAGGGTCAGAGTGTGTGTGTGTATTTGTTGTGTGTGTTTGTTTGTTGTGTGTGTGTTGTGTGTGTTGTGTGTGTGTGTGTGTTTGTGTGTGCGTGTGGTCTCGCCTTGATGCTATCAGCTCAGCGGCGTGACACTGATACCGCTGTAAAGAGAAGAGGAATTTCATTACACGCCTGTCATACCTGCTGCTCCTGTAACACACACACACAGACGCACACACAAACATATACACAAACTCACACACAAATAGATACATGCACACACACACATGAGACACAGACACACACACACTGAGACATATACACACAAACATAGATACATGTACACAGACACACATACAGACGTACACACACAGACGTACATACCACACACACACACACACACACATTCACACACACACAGACACACACAGATAGAATCCTTTTATGGCCATGTGAGTAACAGGAAGTCACAAACTAAATTGTCTTTCGCTCTCGATGCAAACAAGTTAAAGCGGAACAAAAACAAAGGCATAAATAAAAATCTACATAAATGTCTTCAGTTCACTAAATACAGTGCACACAACATACCATTAAGAATGACGGTCATTAGGTCAGAGGTCAGAGGTGGATTATAAAGTGTTCATGTGGCCAGAAAGCAGACCAGAGAGGGACCAGAGAGGCCAGAGAGAGACCAGAGAGGGACCAGAGAGGGACCAGAGAGAGACCAGAGAGGGACCAGAGAGAGACCAGAGAGAGAGACCAGAGAGAGACCAGAGAGAGAGACCAGAGAGAGAGACCAGAGAGAGACCAGAGAGAGACCAGAGAGAGACCAGAGAGAGACCAGCGAGAGACCAGAGAGAGAGACCAGAGAGAGACCAGAGAGAGAGACCAGAGAGAGGCCAGAGAGAGAGACCAGAGAGAGAGACCAGAGAGAGACCAGAGAGAGAGACCAGAGAGAGACCAGCGAGAGACCAGAGAGAGAGACCAGAGAGAGGCCAGAGAGGGACCTAAGAGAGACCAGAGAGAGACCAGAGAGAGAGACCAGAAAGACAGGATCATCTTGCCCTTGTCCAACCTTGTTTTAGTGCAGTCAGAATGTGCTCATGTTAAGACGCATTTTACCAAATTTGAGCCATTTCTAACTTATTTTCTGTCCTTTTTTCCAGTGTGATGCATCGATGTCTGTTCTTGAAACTGTGAAATCTGTGCGTACGTTTCTCAGAGTTATGCAAAAGTGAAGGAAATCTCTAAATGTTGGAATCCATAGTATGGTGTAGTGTGAGGTGGCGACGGCGTGTGTGGGTCTCTCTCTCCGTCAGAGTAATCACCCTCTTTCTTCTGGGCTCATTGTGGTCTTGGATCCTTTTCTCTTCTGCACTTTCATGAGCAGTTCCCATTATCCTCGGCTGCTCTTATGGGCTCAATGAAAGACTGATAGGAGAAAATGGCAAAATGGAAAACTGTTTTCAATAATCCGACCTATATGACAGTTCACGGGGAGCGGCTGCCAATCTCTGCCTCCACCGCCTCCACCGCCACCACCGCCACCACCGCCTCCACCGCCACCACCGCCACCACCGCCTCCACCGCCACCACCGCCTCCACCGCCACCACCGCCACCACCGCCTCCACCGCCACCACCGCCTCCACCGCCATCACCGCCACCAGCGCCTCCACCGCCTCCACCGCCATCACCGCCACCACCGCCTCCACCGCCATCACCGCCACCACCGCCACCACCGCCACCACCGCCACCACCGCCTCCACCGCCTCCACCGCCACCACCGCCACCACCGCCACCACCGCCTCCACCGCCTCCACCGCCACCACCGCCTCCACCGCCTCCACCGCCATCACCGCCACCACCGCCTCCACCGCCTCCACCGCCTCCACCGCCTCCACCGCCATCACCGCCACCACCGCCTCCACCGCCTCCACCGCCTCCACCGCCATCACCGCCACCACCGCCTCCACCGCCATCACCGCCTCCACCGCCACCACCGCCTCCACCGCCTCCACCTCCTCCACCGCCATCACCGCCACCACCGCCACCACCGCCACCACCGCCACCACCGCCTCCACCGCCTCCACCGCCATCACCGCCACCACCGCCTCCACCGCCACCACCGCCACCACCGCCTCCACCGCCTCCACCGCCTCCACCGCCTCCACCGCCTCCACCGCCTCCACCGCCTCCACCGCCTCCACCGCCATCACCGCCACCCCCACCGCCTCCACCGCCTCCACCGCCTCCACCGCCATCACCGCCACCACCGCCTCCACCGCCATCACCGCCTCCACCGCCACCACCGCCTCCACCGCCTCCACCTCCTCCACCGCCATCACCGCCACCACCGCCACCACCGCCACCACCGCCACCACCGCCTCCACCGCCTCCACCGCCTCCACCGCCATCACCGCCACCACCGCCTCCACCGCCACCACCGCCACCACCGCCTCCACCGCCTCCACCGCCTCCACCACCGCCTCCACCGCCATCACCGCCACCACCGCCTCCACCGCCTCCACCGCCTCCACCGCCTCCACCTCCTCCACCGCCATCACCGCCACCACCGCCACCACCGCCTCCACCGCCTCCACCGCCTCCACCGCCATCACCGCCACCACCGCCTCCACCGCCACCACCGCCACCACCGCCACCACCGCCTCCACCGCCACCACCGCCTCCACCGCCACCACCGCCTCCACCGCCTCCACCGCCACCACCGCCTCCACCGCCACCACCGCCACCACCGCCTCCATCGCCACCACCGCCTCCACCGCCACCATCGCCACCACCGCCTCCATCGCCACCACCCGCCTCCACCGCCACACCACCGCCACACCACCGCCTCCACCGCCTCCACCACCACCACCGCCTCCACCGCCACCACCACCACCACCGCCTCCACCGCCTCCACCGCCACCAACCATTCACACACACACCAGACTCATTGTATTGTATTTATGAGTTTAATTTAAGCCGTTTTTGACTTATTTTTCATCACGTTTTGCAGTCCCATGTCCTAATAGAAACACAACCAGGTAGAGTAGAGCCGAGTAGGACCAAGTAGGGCCGAGTAGGGCTAAAATTAGACCTTCCCCGTCTGCAGCTGCTTGTTCTCGGTGGCAGTGAGGAGGATGATAGTGACAGAACGAGGACTAAGTGAGAGAACTGGATTCTGGGAAAATGCATTTGTCCTTCGCAAACGAGTGACTCCACTGAACATCGAACATGATCAAGGCTTAATGAAGTCTCAGACACGTTTGGAATCCGCCGCCGCCGCCGCCAACGCCGCATCAGCTCAGGGTCAGAGCACATGTCACAGAGAAAAAGGAGAAAGTACAGACAGAGAAACACAGGAATGCACCTTTTTCTCTCTATATGTGTCTGGACGTTCCTTGGTAACCATGGCTTCCAGCAGCTCTCTGGGTAATCACCGGCAACAAGAACACTTTAGCACCAGATTGACACACCAGACTCATTCTAATGTGAGGGAAGTGTCTTGCCACAGATTGGCACTTTACAGCCGCAGCCGCCCCACTGTGGCACCTGCTGTTCCCTGATGTCTCCCATCACAGTACTAACCAGGCCCTGCCCTACTTAGCTTCAGAGGTCTGATGTGATCTGGCTTTCACTTTTTGTGTCCAGTCTGTTGTATTGATGAGATTCTGAGTGTGTTTTTAAAATGTCCTTTTTTCCGCTTTACTGTGTGTGATGTTTGGTTCACGTCCCAAACGATATGTAAATCAGAAAGTGCTTCAAAGTGCATCAGAGTCTCTCCGCTGCACTGCTGTGACGGCAGAACACAGACCTGGGATCAGTTCTTCTGGTTTCAGATGAAGAGATTATGTAAACCACAGAGAATGTGAACATGCAACCTGCTGTAACGTCCCCACAGCACACACAGACCTGCAGGAGTGTGTGTGTGTCAGCGTGTGCCTGTATCTGTGTGTGTGTGAGTACATACAATACAAAGCATTCTTGTATCGCCCTAAATCACAACAGCATCAACTCAGAGACTTAACAAAACATGTGTGTGTACCTGTATGTGTGTGTGTGTGTGTGTGCGTATATATGTGTGTGTGCGTGTGTGTGTGGGTGTGTGTATGAGTATCTATGTGTCTGTGTGTGTCTGTGTACTTGTATGTGTTTGAGTGTGTGCGTATGTATACTTGAATGTGTGTGTACATGTGTGTGTACCTTTGTGTGTGTGTGTGTGCGTATGTGTGTGTGTGTGTGTGTGTGTGTGTGTGTGTGTGTACATGTAATTGTGTGTAAGTTGTTAACATTCAAACACAATAAAACCAGAGCAGGTTTTTCCGCATCACACCCACGACAGAGAGAAGGATTTTGGACCCAAGCTCTCTCTCCTCTCTCTCCTCTCTCTCTCTATCTCTCTATCTCTCTCCTCTCTCTCCTCTCTCTCTCTATCTCTCTATCTCTCTCCACTCTCCCCTCTCTCTCCACTCTCTCCTCTCTCTCTCTATCTCTCTCCTCTCTCTCTATCTCTCCTCTCTCTCCTCTCTCTCTATCTCTCCTCTCTATCTCTCCTCTCTCTCCTCTTTCCTCTCTCTCTCCTCTCTCCCTCCCCTCTCTCCCCCCTCCCTCCGTCCCTCATCTCTCTCTCTCTCTCTCTCTCTATCTCTCCTCTCTCTTTTCCTCTCTTTTTCTCTCCTCTCTCTCTCTCTCTCTCTCTCCCTCCCCTCTCTCCCCCCCTCCCTCCGTCCCTCCTCTCTCTCCCCCCCTCTCTCCTCTCTCTCCTCTCTCTCCACTCTCCCCACTCTCTCCTCTCTCTCTCTCTCCCTCCCCTCTCTCCCCCATCCCTCCGTCCCTCCTCTCTCTCTCTCTCTCTCTCTCTCTCTCTCTCTCCCCTCTCTCCTCTCTCTCTCCCCTCTCTCCCCCATCCCTCCGTCCCTCCTCTCTCTCTCTCTCTCTCTCTCCTCTCTCTCCCCCATCCCTCCGTCCCTCCTCTCTCTCTCTCTCTCTCTCCTCTCTCTCCCCCATCCCTCCGTCCCTCCTCTCTCCCTCTCTCTCTCTCCTCTCTCTCTCCCCTCTCTCCCCTCTCTCCCCCCTCCCTCCGTCCCTCCTCTCTCTCCCCCCCTCTCTCTCTCTCTCCCCCCCTCTCTCCCCCATCCCTCCGTCCCTCCTCTCTCTCTCTCTCTCTCTCCTCTCTCTCTCCCCCTCTCCCCCCTCTCTCTCTCTCCCTCCCCTCTCTCCCCCCTCCCTCCGTCCCTCCTCTGTCCCCCACCTCTCCCTCTCTCTCTCCTCTCTCTCCTGGAGACTTCCGCAGGGACATGTTCCGCTGTAGGTCATACATGTACCTGAGATAACCACGATCCAGTGAAATGTTTCCACTTGAACGCAGAGAGCGCAGAGCAGTGCATTGTGGTCTATCTCGGGCGCACAGGGGACGCCTGGAGTCTCATAAGTGCTGAATACGACACGGCCTCGCCACGGTGACATTATGGACGCTGGCAGAGTGGTTATCGTTCCGTCTCCTGCTCTAAAGGAGGCTTTACCGTTCTACAGTCGACTCGAGATGGGTCCTTTAATAGTCTTAGTGTTGTGTTACCATGGCGACAGACCCTGCTTGTGTTCTGCCCCTTTAAATGCCCCACCCATTAGCCAATCAGATCGCTTATAGACAAATTTGAAATGTAGACCCAGGACTGAGGCACTTTGAGTTGCCTTGTGTATGAACTCTGCTGTATAGATAAACTTGCTACGCTGTATATATACAATAAAAACACCATTCATTATCTAAAAAGGTCTCTGTCTTTTTTCCACATTTTCTACAAAGTCCTTCTCCTCTTTGCTCCACTGAGCGAGAGAGACCCCCTGCAGAGCGAGAGAGACCCCCTGCAGAGCGTCTCAGGACTCTCCACAGACAAAGCACAGTTTGTTTTGTCATCACACAAAAAACCAACACTTCTCCTTTTGCTGATCTCTGCACAATAAACAGAGGAAAGATAACAGCGGATATCACAGGGACTGGCCTCCTGCTGGGACTCTGAGGAGCACAGGGACTGGCCTCCTGCTGGGACTCTGAGGAGCAGGGACTGGACTCCTGCTGGGACTCTGAGGAGCACAGGGACTGGCCTCCTGCTGGGACTCTGAGGAGCAGGGACTGGACTCCTGCTGGGACTCTGAGGAGCACAGGGACTGGACTCCTGCTGGGACTCTGAGGAGCAGGGACTGGACTCCTGCTGGGACTCTGAGGAGCACAGGGACTGGACTCCTGCTGGGACTCTGAGGAGCAGGGACTGGACTCCTGCTGGGACTCTGAGGAGCACAGGGACTGGTCCCCGTGTCCCAGTCCCTCTGCTTGAAAACCACCTCCTGCAGACGTTCCCACAGTCACTGCCTTTTCTCTCCTCTCTTTCAGCCCAGAATCCTCTCCAGGTTTAAGCAGCATTTATTTGATTGATGTGAACTCGCAGACCCCGCCCCCTCCTGACCGTCTCCTCCATCGGCGCCGTCAAAATGGCCGACGGCGAAGAGAGGCGAGCCAAAGCTGAGGGGCTCATTACAGACCCTCCAGTCCAGAGCTGGACTTATGATTATTTATGGGGCGGTGTGTGGACTTAGTTCTGCTCCTGGCTCCGGCTGCTCCTGTCAGTCTGGGTGTAGCGCTGGAGCGAGGAGGAGGAGTTTAAATGAGTAATGTTTATTTATGCAGCGCAAGAAATACACACTTTCACCGCAGGACGAGAGAGCGATGAACGAGTGAATGATATTTACTGACGAGGCTGCTCAGACAAAGACAGGATCACGGTGTCTTCTATCTGCTTTTTTATTTTGTAAAGCCACAAAATAAAGCAATAACACATTCCATGAAAGGAAGAAATGTTCTTATAAACCTCTACCTCTTACTTACTTACTTACTTACTTACTTACTTACTTACTTACTTACTCACTCACTCACTCACTCACTCACTCACTCACTCACTCACTCACTCACTCACTCACTCACTCACTCACTCACTCACTCACTCACTCACTCACTCACTCACTCACTCACTCACTCACTCACTCACTCACTCACTCACTCACTCACTCACTCACTCACTCACTCACTCACTCACTCACTTACTTACTTACTCACTTCAAATGGATCAATCGTCGCTTTAGAGAAAAACAGCTCTTTTGTAACTCCATGAGTCTGTTGCACAGCGTCTCCTCACTGCTTCAGGTCTGCACACGGCTCAGTGTTGTTGTGTAGTTTTAGCAGCTGTGTAGCATGTGTTAGCAGCTGTGTAGCATGTGTTAGCAGCTGTGTAGCATGTGTTAGCAGCTGTGTAGCATGTGTTAGCAACTGTGTAGCATGTGTTAGCAGCTGTGTAGCATGTGTTAGCAGCTGTGTAGCATGTGTTAGCAGCTGTGCAGCGTTAGCAGCTGTGTAGCATGTGTTAGCAGCTGTGCAGCGTTAGCAGCTGTGTAGCATGTGTCAGCAGCTGTGCAGTGTTAGCAGCTGTGTAGCATGTGTTCGCAGCTGTGCAGTGTTAGCAGCTGTGTAGCATGTGTTAGCAGCTGTGTAGCATTAGCAGCTGTGACGCTTGGCTAATTCCTCACAGTATCCTGGAGTTGTGTCGGATCGATACTGGATGTATTCAGACCTGAATCGACTCGGACCAGAGTTCATTTGGAAGCGGACCGAGACCACCTACAGAAGTGGGTCTCGGTTCGGTTCTTTGGTCCGGACCAGGATTCGTTTGTGTGTATTCAGACCTGCATAAAAGGTTCAGATCAGAGTTCCAAACAAATCCTGGTCCGTTTAAAGTGGAGCAAATGTGCAGGTCTGAAAACACCTTTAATAATTCTTGTGAAAAACATAAAAAAATTGGCAGGATTTATTATAATTTAACAGTTTTTAACGGGAGCAGTCAAAACAACGGCTGAGCTCTAGAAGTTTAATAAATCTGTGAATATCAACGGAAAGTGTTTTTGTCGTGTGCGTTCTTCAACATTTAGCGACGATTAAAGACGTTGAACTAAACCATCAGACTGTCGTACTTTTAAACAAATGCAACAAAACATCTGATTCCTGTCTCTGTGAGGATCAAGTTTATTTTAGACTATCTTTGCTATTATGCTAAAGCTAGAGCTATTAATGCTAATGTATCTAATGCTGTGTGCTTCTCATTCCTATTGTCCTGTAACCACTGATGCAACACTGACATTTCTCGGCTGCAGAACAAACAAAAGTATCTCTTAATCTTAATCCTAATCCACAAGGACACACTTCTCTCCTCGTTTTTCAGCCGCAGTTAAAGTCCTTCCATTTGTTTGTTTAAGTCCGTTACGACGGCGCTCTCTGCAGATTCCATCTCCAAAGACTTTAATCAAACGCTTTGATTCTGGAAATAAGAGGCTGTTTTTATGTCGTCAAAATGTGGAGCGGATAAAGTCGTGCCCTTCGCCCGAATCTGATCTGACGGCGTTCATAACAGACGTTTACTGTGAGCTCTGAAGCATTAGCCCGACTTTGATACTTCAGAAGTGAGAGGGAGAGAAGTGACCACAGAAGAACGACCTTGAGACGCTTCAGAGGCCGTCGTTTGTGATGTTAGGTGAGATAATGTGAAAAACAGACTAGGACTGTTTTAAAGTGTTGGCCCAGAGTGACTGAGATCAGTGGTCCCCAACCTTTGTCAGCCGTGGGACGTCTTTGTCATCGCAGAAAGTGAATTTGATACAAAATGTAATCATAATCATAATAATGCAGCAGTATCATGTAGTTGAGAGCCCCCTGCTGGAGAAGTATGGTAACTGCACTATCCTCTCCTCCTTCCTACTTTATCTGTTTAGCATTATTAGGATTCTGACTGTAGTTTGTTCATTGCTATTCACCCGTTGTCCCATTGTCTGTTTCATGGTACGATGACGGGATCTCTGAGCCTGGCCTCCTCCATCTACACCTGCGGACTGCCCCGCCCGACCCGCCTGGGAGTGCTTCAGTCCTGCACCGGACCTGTCCACGTTCAGCGTCCACTGGTCCACGTTCTGTAGCTAGCTTAGGTCCTAGATCATTAGCCTGTCCGTCCGGAGGAGCGGATCCCTTTCTCATATGGGTCTCCCTCCCTGTGGGTTTCCCTAGTTCTCCCCAAGGTTTCTCATTTTTTCCCACTGGGCTTTTTAAGAGTTGTTCCTTGTGGATGCAGGAGGGTCTTGTTGATGATCCAGGACACTTTAACATTCTACAACATGTATGGACACTGGTCTCTCCCTTTGGACCAATACATATGTGTATATTGTGTGTCTTAGGTGTTGATTCTCTGACCTGTGTTGGTGATTTCAATGGTTTTGAGTTGATGCTGTTGTGATTTAGAGAAATACAAGAATAAATTGTTGTTGTTCCGTAACTTTATGTTTCATGTCTATTTTGTGTGTTTTTAAGTTAAGCTGAAGTGTGTTATATCTGTCTTTCTATAGTCTTCACTGTGTTTTAAATGGACCTGTGCATGATGGATGATAATAGATTCATCAGTTGAAGAAAACCACTTGTGTCTTGAGGACTCGGGGAAATTACTATCCCGTTGTGTCTCCTTTAATATCCCGAGGCTTTAGCTTGGAGTCGGTGCAGTTCTAGTCCTAGTGTTTTTCTCATATTTGTCACAGAAAGCCATAGTTGTGTCAGAGGCTCAGCTAATGGAGCAGGACTGTACAAAGAACCAACAATGCAGAAAGTAAAGTTTGAAAACGCTGCAGTTTAATGTAATGAATGAGAACGAGTCCCTGCGACGACACAAGCAGAAGACTCAGAAAACACCTCCACTTTGTCACAAAAACAAGACGCAAAACAGACGGACTGAGAGAGAGAACTATCAACAAGCAACAGAGGAAAGAGAACAACTCCACATGATGCAGAACAAGAAGAAGACGAAGAAGAACAAGAAGAAGAGGAAGAGGAACAAGAAGAAGAAGAAGAAGAAGAACAAGAACAAGAAGAACAAGAAGAAGAAGAAGAAGAAGAACTAGAAGAAGAAGAACAAGAACAAGAAGAACAAGAAGAAGAAGAAGAAGAAGAACTAGAAGAAGAAGAACAAGAACAACAAGAAGAAGAAGAAAAAGAAGAAGAAAAAGAAGAAGAACAAGAAGAAGAAGAAGAAGAAGAAGAAGAAGAAGAAGAAGAAGAAGAAGAAGAACAAGAACAAGAAGAAAATGAACAAGAACAAGAAGGAAAAGAAGAAGAAGCTGAAATCTACTTTTTAACTATGTGTGAAAATGACTTAATCTGAGATATTTTAGTTGAGATCTTTGCTACGTACAACGCAAGATTGACCAAAAAGTAAAAGTTCTTTAGAGTCATTGAAACAAGTCTGACTCTGAGGAGCACAGGGACTGGCCTCCTGCTGGGACTCTGAGGAGCACAGGGACTGGCCTCCTGACGCCTACAGACCTCACCATATCTGACCTGGAGTTGCTTTTAGCTCCATTTGCATTAATCTCAGGATGGTCTGACACACGCCCCCAACCCATCTGTCTGAATGTTGTTTTCAAACTTGTTTTGCATGACACATTCACTGAGACCCATTGACCTGATCTCTAAGTGGCAGAGTGGTTAGCTGCTTCTCTGTGGTTACACACTTGGAGCAGGTGTAAAACTATGTTCCATCTGTCATGGTTCTGTTTGTTTTTGGTCTCTCCCCATCTTTCTTTCCAGAGCATGTGTGAGAGAGGGGGCGTGGCCGGTCTCTGCTGGGGGCGTGGCCGGTCTCTGCTGGGGGCGTGGCCGGTCTCTGCTGGGTTGCTGACGAGACACACCTGCATCCACTCACTCCACTCTACTCATCACTCCTCTGCCAGATAATTCCGTCTTATCGGTATTACCACGCCGTGTCTTCACTACTTACCTGAGTTTTTAGATTACTCACCTTCTTGTTACAATTCCAGATCCCGTGCTCGCCCAGTCCTCCTGTCTCTACTCTACTCTGCTCTTTGGCCGGCCTGCTCCCTGTCTCCACTGCTCCAACCGTTTTTGAGTATTTTGTATTTTTGGTTATTAAAGACTTTTGTTAAACTGCTTTGGCCTCCCTCTGCTTTGGGGTTCGAAGACTAAACCTTAACACCATCGACTGTATGTAGATGGACAATGCTAACATGCTAGCTCAATGGAGCCCAACAGGGAAGTGCTCCTGGACAAAGTTTTTCTCCAACTTGCTCTGGCTCCTATGGACTGGCATTTGAAATTCACCATATTTGGCTCAAATATCTGTGTTTTACTGCTCTCTATGGTCTTTATAGTCCTGGGGTTTTCATTTTGATAATTTCCTCTGGTCCTGGCTCCTCTGGTCCTGGCTCCTCTGGGCCTGGCTCCTCCAATCACCTTGTTTTTGCCTCTTCTGGTTTTGAGTGTGCTGCTCTTGAGATTTAGAGCTGTAGGAAAATAAACTGAATGAAATGACCAGAAAGACTGTTATGGTTCCTGGTCCATAAACCGCCTCTGGTCCTGGTCTGGGCCTGAGCTCCTTCCACTGGTGCGAGTCCGATAGTGATGAAGCTGAAAGATCACGTTTTCATCAGACTTAAATAATTCACTGAACCAGACGCAGTGAAACTATCAGCCGTTTAAAACAGTTTAAAACTGTTTAAAACCGTTTAGAGCGGGTTCAAAATCTGTGATTAAAGTCAAATGTAAAAGTGTTCGGTCACGACTCGTTACGGACCAGAAATAACCATTTCATTTAAAGAGTTCACGAGTTCACACCAGCAGGAAGTGTCTGAGGCTGTGCTCAGGGCCTGAGGCTGAGATCTGTGGATTAAAGCTCGGGGACCTGACTTTCCCCTGGTCCTCCCCTGGTCCTCCCCTGGTCTCCACCTGGTCTTCCTCTGGTCTCCACCTGGTCTTCCTCTGGTCTTCCCCTGGTCTTCCCCTGGTCTCCTCTTGGTCTCCTCTTGGTCTCCTCCTGGTCTCCTCCTGGTTTTCCCCTGGTTTTCCCCTGGTCTTCCCCTGGTCTTCCTCTGGTCTTCCCCTGGTCTCCTCCTGGTCTCCTCCTGGTCTCCTCCTGGTCTCCTCCTGGTCTTCCCCTGGTCTTCCCCTGGTCTTCCCCTGGTCTCCTCTTGGTCTCCTCCTGGTCTCCTCCCGGTTTTCCCCTGGTTTTCCCCTGGTTTTCCCCTGGTCTTCCCCTGGTCTTCCTCTGGTCTTCCTCTGGTCTTCCCCTGGTCTTCCTCTGGTCTTCCTCTGGTCTTCCTCTGGTCTTCCCCTGGTCTTCCCCTGGTCTTCCCCTGGTTTTCCCCTGGTTTTCCCCTGGTTTCCCCCTGGTTTTCCCCTGGGTTTCCCCTGGTCTTCCCCTGGTCTTCCCCTGGTCTTCCTCTGGTCTTCCCCTGGTCTTCCTCTGGTCTTCCTCTGGTCTTCCTCTGGTCTTCCCCTGGTCTTCCCCTGGTTTTCCCCTGGTTTTCCCCTGGTTTTCCCCTGGTTTTCCCCTGGTCTTCCTCTGGTCTTCCTCTGGACTTCCTCTGGTCTTCCCCTGGTCTTCCCCTGGTCTTCCCCTGGTCTTCCTCTGGTCTTCCCCTGGTCTTCCCCTGGTTTTCCCCTGGTTTTCCCCTGGTCTTCCCCTGGTCTTCCTCTGGTCTTCCTCTGGTCTTCCTCTGGTCTTCCTCTGGTCTTCCTCTGGTCTTCCTCTGGTCTTCCCCTGGTCTTCCCCTGGTTTTCCCCTGGTTTTCCCCTGGTCTTCCCCTGGTCTTCCTCTGGTCTTCCTCTGGTCTTCCTCTGGTCTTCCTCTGGTCTTCCTCTGGTCTTCCTCTGGTCTTCCTCTGGTCTTCCTCTGGTCTTCCCCTGGTCTTCCCCTGGTTTTCCCCTGGTTTCCCCCTGGTTTTCCCCTGGGTTTCCCCTGGTCTTCCCCTGGTCTTCCCCTGGTCTCCAGGAGGCATCCCGACAAACAGTAAATGAAACCCTTTATCTACTTCAGGAACTATCAACACAAATGCCAAACTAGTCCAACGATTGGACTAGTTTTTGTTTTCTTTCTAATGATTACGGTTTCATTTTTAGTGTTTTAAGATCCACAAAACGTTGATCTTAAAATTATATGATTCAATTATGTTTGTTTAGAAGTCTGCTTTAGAATGAAGTATAACATAGTATCCCATTACTTTAAGTTACTGTGGTAATCATTACAGGGACCATTAAAAATAGTCTTGTGGCCGGATGTGGCCCACAGGCCAGAGTTTGACCCAGTGGGGGCGGGTCCCGGCTCAAAAGTGTCCAAAATGACATGCGCTGACGTGCTGCAGTACCACCCCAGGCCTGTGGGGCTGGACCCGGAATAAGAATTAGCCGAGTGTTCTGGACCAGTCTAGTTTAGTCGCTGTGGACTTTGGAAGTCTCTTGTTCAAATGAATGGAGCTCGTGCAGCTGACGCATGCACAGATGTGTTTTTTCAGTTTTCTTGTGGGCGGGGCCACTTGCGGCCATTTTGGATTGCTCCAGTAGAGCATTATTTTTGGCCCATTAGTTAGATCGGTGGAGATAGACCTGACTCTGTCTGTTAATACAGACTATGGTTTGACCTGATCCAGGCTCAGTCTCTTTCATCTCTGACCTCTTTAATAAACCTGTCCTGAACATGATGTATCCAAACACCACGCTAACGGCTCCATAAGAAAAACACACGTCAAACGGCACACCAAAGGCCAAACGCCACACGCCACATGACAAACGCCACACGCCACATGACAAACGCCACACGCCACATGACAAACGCCACACGCCACATGACAAACGCCACACGCCACATGACAAACGCCACACGCCACATGACAAACGCCACACGCCACATGACAAACGCCACACGCCACATGACAAACGCCACACGCCACATGACAAACGCCACACGCCACATGACAAATGCCACACGCCACATGACAAATGCCACACGCCACATGACAAACGCCACACGCCACATGACAAATGCCACACGCCACATGACAAACGCCACACGCCACATGACAAACGCCACACGCCACATGACAAACGCCACACGCCACATGACAAACGCCACACGCCACATGACAAATGCCACACGCCACATGACAAACGCCACACGCCACATGACAAATGCCACACGCCACATGACAAACGCCACACGCCACATGACAAACGCCACACGCCACATGACAAACGCCACACGCCACATGACAAATGCCACACGCCACATGACAAACGCCACACGCCACATGACAAATGCCACACGCCACATGACAAACGCCACACGCCACATGACAAACGCCACACGCCACATGACAAACGCCACACGCCACATGACAAATGCCACACGCCACATGACAAACGCCACACGCCACATGACAAACGCCACACGCCACATGACAAATGCCACACGCCACATGACAAACGCCACACGCCACATGACAAACGCCACACGCCACATGACAAATGCCACACGCCACATGACAAACGCCACACGCCACATGACAAACGCCACACGCCACATGACAAACGCCACACGCCACATGACAAACGCCACACGCCACATGACAAACGCCACACGCCACATGACAAATGCCACACGCCACATGACAAACGCCACACGCCACATGACAAACGCCACACGCCACATGACAAACGCCACACGCCACATGACAAACGCCACACGCCACATGACAAACGCCACACGCCACATGACAAACGCCACACGCCACATGACAAACGCCACACGCCACATGACAAACGCCACACGCCACATGACAAATGCCACACGCCACATGACAAACGCCACACGCCACATGACAAACGCCACACGCCACATGACAAATGCCACACGCCACATGACAAACGCCACACGCCACATGACAAATGCCACACGCCACATGACAAACGCTAAACGCCATTCGCCAAACCTTCAGGGTCGTTCCTGAACCACTCTCTTCACCGTGACAGAAACATCACTGTCACCGCACCACACTGAGCGGAATGTAAATAACCATCTGTCATTCCAGCCTCTGCACCTCCCCTTTATCTCTTCTGCTCCTCCTCTGCACCGCCCCTTCACCTCCTCTGCACCTCCCCTTCACCTCCTCTAGACATCCTCTGCACCTCCTCTGCGCCTCCTCTGCACCTCCCCTTCGCCTCCTCTACACCTCCTATGCACCTCCCTTTCACCTCCTCTACACTTCCTCTGCTCTACACTTCCTCTGCACCTCCTCTACACTTCCTCTGTACCTCCTCTACACTTCCTCCCCACCTCCCCTGCACCTCCTCTCTGTGCCGTGGATGGAGCGGCTGCGTCCATGTTTAACGCCTCATTAACCGCCTCAGTGTTGGCGAGCGGCTGATGTCCTTGGCTTTTACCGCCTCGTCTCTCGTCCTTGGGGCTTGGCGACCAGAGCAGGACCAGACCAGGACCAGAGCAGGACCCAGAGCAGGACCGGAGCAGGACCAGAGCAGGACCAGACCAGGACCAGAACTGGACCCAGAGCAGGACCGGAGCAGGACCAGAGCAGGACTAGAGCAGGACCAGAGCAGGACCAGAACTGGACCCAGAGCAGGACCGGAACAGGACCGGAGCAGGACCAGAGCAGGACCAGAGCAGGACCAGTGGCACCGGCGTCAGCTCGATCATTTTTATTCGACCCAAACGGTGATGAGGCTGCGGTTCGTTAACTGCTATTTCAATATTTCACGGTGAAGAATGAGCCAGATTTTATTTGAAGAGAGATGTGTGTGTGTGTGTGTGTGTGTGTGTGTGTGTGTGTGTGTGTGTGTGTGTGTGTGTGTGTGTGTCTGTGTCTGTGTGTGTGTCTGTGTGAGTCTGTTTGTGTGTGTGTGTGTGTGTGTGTGTGTGTGTGTGTGTCTGTGTGTGTGTCTGTGTGAGTCTGTTTGTGTGTGTGTGTGTGTGTGTCTGTGTGAGTCTGTGTGTGTGTGTGTGTGTGTGTGTGTGTGTGTGTGTGTGTGTGTGTGTGTGTGTGTGTGTGTGTGTGTGTGTGTGTGTGTGTGTGTGTCTGTTTGTGTGTGTGTGTGTGTGTGTGTGTGAGAGTCTGTTTGTGTGTGTGTGTGAGTGTGTGTGTGTGTGTGTGTGTGTGTGTGTGTGTGTGTGTGTGTGTGTGTGAGAGTCTGTTTGTGTGTGTGTGTGAGTCTGTTTGTGTGTGTGTGTGTGTGTGTGAGTCTGTTTGTGTGTGTGTGTGTGTGTTTGTGTGTGAGTGTCTGTGCACTTGTTTTCAACTCCTGGTGGGTTCCATAACCTGAGATTCCACTCACGTCATGGGGACTGGTTTTACGTGGTGGGGCCCGAACACCGGACCCCACTGGTTCAAGCTTAATAATCAATGGGTAATGCTTTTCTAACGGTCCTTATGCAGTCTCTGTAAAAATATGGAAAGGACCCCTGGAGGTTTACTTTCCTGAAAAAAGTGTGTTATGTGTCGGAACCCTGGTGGTGGGTTGCGGGATATCAAGGAGGGGCACACTGGGGCAATTTCAGTCCAGCAGGCTGGAGCCAATCATGGAGCAGCACAACAGAGGAAATCAGGTGTCAGGCTAGAAAAAGGTGCAAGTGTGTGGTTCATTAGGCTGCAAGAAATCATGGAGGAGCACACTGAAGCGCACGCTTACAAACCACTGGTAAGTGCTGACTACAAGTCATGACTTCAAATTGTTATATAGAATGATTACAAATTATTTGTTGTTTGTGCAGCTTAGTCAAGAGTCCCTAATTGATGAAGTCGACTCAGATTCTGACGATTTAACTGTCAAGAAGAAACCTGTAAAAAAGTATGGAAAAAGAAAAATCAAAAACACTTTTCTTCAAGACTCGGAAAGTGACGAACCAAAGGCAAATAAGATTGTTATCATGCAGCTGCAAAAGAAGAAAAATGGGGGGCGAGTTTACAGCAAGAGACACTTCTGCCTCTACTGTTCAATGTCCTGCCACAAAATGTCCCGTCATTTGACTAGAAAACATGGAAATGAAAGTGACGTAGCCAGAGCATTGGCTCTACCTGTGAAATCTAAAGCACGTAAACTTCAGTTTGATTTGATCAGGAATAGTGGAAACCGTGAGCACAATTTTGAGGTTTTAAAGGCCGGCATTGGAACTTTAGTCCCAGCTAAACAGCCAAATTCCCCAGTTAAATCCAGTGAGTTTTTGCACTGTATAGACTGTGGGGCATTGCTTAAGCGAAAGTCGCTGTGGAGGCATGTGGCCAGGTGCCGGCTTTCACAGAAAGATGCCCAGGCTAAACCAGGTAGAAGTAGGGTCCAGTCCCTCTGCTCCCTAGCCCAGCCTGTACCGGAGGGCATCAGCAAAAAGCTGTGGTCTTTAATTTGGGCAATGCATCAGGATGAGGTCACGGGTGTTGTCAAAGCAGAAAAGGGGATTCTGAGACTCGGAGAGCACCTGTACTTAAAACACGGGCATGATAAGACTAAGCATGATTACATTAGGCAGAAAATGAGAGAAGTCGGTAGGTTAATTAACGAAGCAAAAACCGCAGGGAAACTGAAAACAATTAAGGATTTCTTTATTCCTTCCAACTTTAACCATGTGATTGATGCAGTCAGGTCTGTGGCTGGATATGATGAGGAAACAAATCAATACAAGACTCCATCCTTGGCCCTCAAACTCGGCCATAGCCTCAGAAAGCTAGCAGATATTCTTGAATGTGACTCAAAAATGGAGCATTGTGTTGATGAACTATTTATTAAAAACCTCCAAAGAAGCCGGCTGCTTTTTGAGAAGAGGTGGGACGTCTGTGTTTCTTCTGCTGCCCTACAGACCCTCCGGCAAGCCAAGTGGAACACTCCGGACCTGCTCCCTCTGACTGAGGACGTTAGAGCCATGCATGCACATATTGAGGTATGTCGACCTGAATATGTGCAAACCCTAATAAGTGAGCCAACGTCTAAGCATTGGTCTAAACTGGCAGTTTTGACTCTTTGTGAGGTCATCATTTTCAATCGAAGAAGGGAAGATGAGGTTTCAAAGATGCCACTGACAGCCTTTACCTTAAGAAGTAAGACTGGGATCCATTCTGACATTGCTCTGGGACTGTCCCAACTTGAGAAAAAGCTGTGTCAGCATTTTCAACGCATTGAAATTAAAGGGAAAAGAAGTCGGAAAGTGCCGGTTCTTTTGACTCCTGAAATGATTGCTTCGATGGAGGTGCTGGTGGAGAACAGAAGGGCCTGTTCCATCTCTGACCATAACCCATACTTCTTTTCCCGCCCGGGCGCAGACACCCACATCAGGGGATCAGACTCCCTACGCCAGGTAGCCAAAGAATGTGGTGCGGTGCATCCAGAGATACTATCCTCAACCAAACTTAGAAAGCACATAGTTACTATGTCTACAGTTCTCAATATGAAAGAGAATGAGATGGACATACTTGCCAACTTCCTCGGCCATGACATTCGCATCCACAGGCAATATTACAGACTACCAGAGGGGACACTGGAGCTGGCCAAAATCAGCAAAGTGTTGATGGCCATGGAGCAGGGAAGAGTGACGGAATTCAAAGGAAAGAGCCTCGACCAGATACAAATTGAGCCTGAAGGTAATTCTTGATATTATTAAAATATGTATGATTTTTTTCCCCTAAAGGCCACTTGTATTTTTATTTTCTGTGCGACAGGGAGAGCAGTAGAGATCCTCTCACAAACGGACGGGCTAAAAGAAACTTCAAGCGGAGAACCTTCAACCATTCATCCAGATGCACCCCATGGTAGTGGCAGTGCCCCTTCTGGTAAGTGTACCAGGTGGGGGATTACAGCCAGGCTGCTTGGTCCTCACCCTGGGAGTGTATATTGCTAATATATTTTTATTTCTCTCCCTAGAACGTGTAAGAAAGCCATGGTCTGCATCTGAGGTGAAGGCTGTGGAGAAGACCATGACACCTTTCATACAGACTGGAAAGGTCCCTGGGAAGTCTCACTGCCTGGCCTGCATTAATGCCTCACCAGATGACCTTAGACATCGGACATGGAGTGGCATTAAATTCTATGTCAAAAATAGAATCACTGCAATTCGAAAAAAAAATCTAACATAAAATTCCTTTAAAATAGTTGTTTGGTTTCTATTGACTGTTTTGTATTACTTAAAGTAGTCCCAGTAAAAAAAGATTATGTCTATGGGTCCCATTCTGAACGGCCCTGTCAAAGGGACCCACCAGGTAACAAAAACGTGTATGTGTGTGTGTGTGTGTGTTTGTGTGTGAGTGTCTGTGTGTCTGTGTGTGTGTGTGTGTGTGTGTTGTAGAATGGGCTCAGTAACCTTTCTGGCTTCTCTCTCTGCTCTGGGAAGCAAGAGAAATGACAGAAAAAGAGAACAATCAGCAGTGTTTAAAGTCTTAAAGCTACGGTACCCAAACTGTGGCTCAGTTAGTAGAGCATTGGTCTTTGGACCTAATGGTTGTGGGATCATATGATTGAACCCGACTCATCTGCTCCCACTGATGTCTGCTGTCGTTGTGTCCCTGGACAAGACACTAAACCCCACTTTGCCTGAAGCCCCCGAGCCTGCGCTTAAACACCGAGGCCATGTCTCAGGCCATCCAGGACCCACCACCTGCAGCAGGACCAGGGCTGGTGCTGTGATATGGGGAAGATAATGTCTCTGGGGTATTCTGTGGATCAGTCGTCACGGCCTCTGTGCTGTGCAGCTGTGTTCAGCTGTGTTCAGACTGGATCACTCTTTGCAATAACAAACATTTATATTTCACGTTTCAACCACCGCACTGTTGGAGCTTTGTTTACACCCGCGTGCAACACATAGCACTGAATATAAGCACTTTAACAATAGCACTGTCTATAAGCACTTTAACAATAGCACTGTATATAAGCACTTTAACAATAGCACTGTATATAAGCACTTTAACAATAGCACTGTAT